CTCCAGGTTCATCCACGTTATAAGGTGTTTCACACATTCATCATTATCCTTTTTTTCCTTTTAAACTTTTTATTGTGGATTCAGTGAAGGTTTACAGACCAGATCATCAGTCCCACATTCAACAAATCACACACTTGGTGTCATTACAATGATTGTAGTCCCTTCTAGATACAATCAGTTCAGTGGTTACCTTTTCTAACTTTAACTCTTGCGTTCCTCCCTGTGTGTTCTATTACCTTCATCTTTCCTGTGGCAACCTCTCTTTTATTGTATATTTATTACCTTCCCCATCACCCAGGTTAACATGTGTCTACTCTCTACCCAGTGAATAAAAGTTTCACTTTCCTCTTATCTCTGGTAACCATCACAGAAATATTTCTTTTAGCAAGAAAACCTTTCCTTAGCTTTATACAACAGTGGTCTCACGCAATATTTGCCCATTTGTGAGTGACTAATTTCACTCAGCATAATGTCCTCTAGGTTCCATCCATGTTGTGGGGTGTTTCGCAGATTCTCCATGATTCTTCAGTGTTGCTTAATATTCCACTGTGCGTCTGTATGCACCATAGTTTGTTTATGCATTCTTCTATTGGTGGGCATTTAGTTTATTTCCATTTTTTTTTGCTATTGTGAATAGTACTACGATGAACATGGGTTTGCATGTATCTGTTTCTTGTTTCTCTAGGATATATACTAAGGTGTGGGGTTGCTGAGTCAGACGGTATTTCTAGTTCCAATGTTTAAAGGCAGCACTATGTTATTTTCTTGGTTTGGCACTGTGGGATAAATCACTGGACAGTAAAGTCGGTTTGAACCACAAGGTCGGTGGTTCATGCTCACCAGTCACTTTTTGGAAACCCTGTACAGGCTTGCTTTGAGTTGGAACTGACTCAGTGGCACTTAAAAACAACAATCATATTTATATCTTTGATGATGAGGTCTCTTTTCTCCCCTATATCAATTCCAACATCTTTCTCTAAAGAGATGGGAAAACTGCTCACCAACTTTATGTGTAAACCAGCCACTTCATGCCTTTTATAGCCCCCAGTTTGGTAGCCACAGTGTAAGTTGCCCATCCCTATCAACTGAGCCATGCTTGATCCTGGATATGGAGAATTCTTCCCTATTCGGTTGGGATTCTGAGCAGCCTCATCCGAAATCAAGGGTCCAGTGGATCAGGTTGCAGTAATTTATGCTTGCTTCCTGCATCAACTTTTTTATCTTCCTCTGGTCAAATTCTGGTCAGCAAGCTTTGCACGCTAGGTCTGGTGGGTACTGTCTGCAAGTCTGGGCGTTCTCGCACGCGTCCCCCTTCTTCAGATCCTGTGGCTTCGTCTTTCTTAACTTTAGCCCTTAGTGGCAAGGTCAATGTCTTTGGGGTCAGGAGCTCACACGTCACCCTGAACTTCAAACCCGTCAGCCCGTCCTTTTCTCTCTCTCGTTCCAAGGTTATGGGGTGTCGATGGGATATGGCAACTCTCAGCCCATGTCTTCTTTGTTGCAATTTCCCCCTTTCCACTCATAAGTCAGCTAGGACAGTTGCCAGACAGCACACAGACTTTTTGTGTGTTTCCTTTGAGTTTCAGTCTTAGCAAGGAATTGACCCTGATGGGTTGACTTTTCTTGCCTTGATGGCTCCGGGGCAAACAGCTTGTTTGATAACGTCATAGCCACACTGCCCATTCTGTTTTTATTTCTCCTCCTTCTTCCCTCGTTGTGTATAGATCTTTTGTTTCTCTGGTTAGATTTATTCCTAATTAGATTTATTTCATCTTTAAGGAGATTGGGACCGACTTCACAGCACACAGCCACCACCACCATTTCGTTTTTTGGGTGACTATTATGTTTCGTTCTGCTGTGCATAAGGTCACTATGAGTAGGTACTGACTCGATGGCACCTAATAACAACAGTTGCGTGACACTAGAGTAAGCACAGGATTGCAAGGTCTGTTTGAACTATAAGGTCAGCGTTTCAAACTCACCAGTTGCTTCTTGGAAACCCTATACTGGGTCACTATGAGTCAGAACCATCTCCACAGACCTTAACAGTTAATATTCAGATGATACAACCTTGCTTGATGGAAGCAAAGAGGACTTAAAAATAGTTACTGATGAAAATCATAGACTACACTACAAATAACATTGTAAATGGTGCCATCATGGTGTGGTGCTGTAAGGTAAACACTTGACCCTAAGGTCAGTTTGAACTGCAAGGTCTGTGGTTGAAACTCACCAGCCACTCCTTGGAAACCCTGTACAGGGTCACTATGAGTGGAACAGAATCCGAATCCACCGGTGCTTAACAACAACAACATTGTAAATGGTATTATTTTTCAGATTTCCTTTTTCACGGTTCTCTGTTAGTGCAAAGGCCTGATTTTTGTATGTTGATCTTTTTTACTATACCACTGTGCTTTATCGTTCTATTGTTGTTGTTAAGTGCTGTCAAGTTGGTTCCGACCTATAGCGACCCTGTACAGGGTTTCCAAGGCTGTAAATCTTTACGGGAGCAGAAAGCCTCATCTTTCTCCTGCAGAACAGCGGGTAGTTTCGAACTGCTGACCTTGTGGTTCGCAGCCTAATTCATAACCACTACACTACCAGAGCTCCTTACTTTGCCATTTCAGATGTCTGTAATTTACCTTTCTTGCCTCACAGATCTGGCTAAGACTTCTAGCACAATATCAGGGTTTTGGCAACTTCCGTCATCTTTATTTATCATGATTTTCATTGGTCCAGTTGTCAAGTTTTATGTTTTATTGACATTGATGTACAATTCATTCTGAAGGCTGTAGTCTTTGTTTTCCATCAGTAAATATTTAAGTCCTCTTTGCTTCCAGCAAGCAAGGTTGTATCATCTGCATATTGCAGGTGTAATGAGTTTTCCTCCAATCCTGATGCCAAGTTCTTCTTCATATAATCCAGCTTCTCAGATTATTTGTTCAACATATAGATTGAACAAATATGATGAAAGAATAGCCCTGGTACACACCTTTCCTGATTTTAAACCATTTAGTGTCTCCCTGTTCTGTTCTAACAACTGCCTCTTGGTCTGTGTACAGCTTCCTCATGAGCACAATCAAGTGTTCTGGAATACCATCCTTTACAGTTTTAGCCATAGCTTGTCATGATCCACACAGTCAAAAACCTTTTTGTGGTCTATAAAGCACATGTAAACTCTTTCTGGTATTCTCTGCTTTCAGCCAAGATCCATCTGACGTCAGCAGTGATATCCCGCGTTCCATATCCTCTACTGACTCTGGCTTGAATTTTGGACATTTCCCTTTTGATGGATGATTATAGCCATTTTTGAATTGTCTTCAGCAAAATTTTACTTGTATGTGATATCAGTGGTATTGATGGATGATTTCCATATTCTTTTGGGCCACTTCTCTTTGGAATGGGCACAAATAAGGATCTCTTCCAATCTGTTGACCAGAGAGCTGTCTTCCAAATTTCTAGATGAGTGAGCGCCTCCAGTGCAGCACCAGTTTGTTGAAAGATTTCAGTTTGTTATTCCATCAGTACCCAGAGCCTTGTTTTTCACCAATGCCATCAATGGAGTTTACACTTCTTCCTTTAATGCCATTGGTTCTTGATCTTAAAATGGTTGAACATTGTGACTCTGTGTATTTCTTACATCTTTTGTGGCTTCTTACATCGTTCAGTATTTTTCCTTTAGTATTGCAAATCGAGGTTTGAATTGTTTTTCTTTAGTTGCCAATCTAGTTGATTCTGACCCTATAAGCAGAGTAGAGCTGCCCCGTTTCTTCTGTAATAGTACTCGGTGGGTTCCAACTACCAAGCTTAAAGTTAGTAGATGCGCGCAAACATCTACTATGTGCATCTCCCAGAGATCTTGACCTTCACTATGACTGTTATTATTATTATTCCAAATCAGAAATTTTAGGATTTTGTCATCCACCCTCTCCCCATTCCTGGAGCAGATATGTGGGTGCTGAGCCTCTGCTGTGTGGCAGCCCTGGCATCGGGGAGAGCGGAGTGAGCAAAAACATTCTGTGTCTGCCCAAGCAGAGCTTGTTCTAGACTGGCACAGTAAAAGGTGTAGAAGTCCAGCTGTGTGTACACCCTGCAAAGGGAAGGCACGAGGTGCATCGCCAGGGGGCAGCCGTGATAGGAAGCGCAGGCAGGAGGGAGATGGTAACTGGGTGCTATGGCTGGTCAAGGCCTGAGATGACACAAATGGTGCTTAACTACTAATGAAAGATGGGTGGTTAGAACCTAATTAGCGACTTTGTTAATCCTTTCATGACTAAACCAAACTCCCTGCTTATGAGTCCATCCCAACTCCTAATGACCCTAGGGGGCACAGTACAGCTACTCCATAGGGTTTCCAGGGCAAATGCAGACTGCCACATCTTTCTCCCTACGAGTGGCTGCTGGGTTCAAACTGCTACCCTTTCAGTTAGAAGCCAGATGCTTAACCATTGTGTCCCCAGGGAGGTTTCTCCATTAAGAACACCCAAGAAAACCCTCCAGAGGAGAGTTCTGCCCTTTAATTCATACGGTTGCTGTGAGTCAGAATCAGCTCTATGGCAACACGTTTGTTTTGATGGTTTGTCGGATGTTGCTGAAATAGGAGGCAGCTTGTGCAAAGGCCCCGTGGTAGTGGTGGGTGAGGGGGTGGTGAATGGAAGGAACAGAAAGTTCATCAGTCTGGCCTTGTGCTGTTTTTTACCCTGGAGGTTCTTGAAGGCTTCCTCTGCCTTCAGCTTGCTCACTGACTGTGGACAGAGGGGACACCCAGTGTGGAGTGGTGGGTGGGGTCAGGAACTACTCCTGAGGGGCTTGAATGAATGGTACCCTTGTATAGACCTCAGCCAGTCAGGGCCTTGACCGGCTAGACTCAAGGACTATGGGGTGGGTGTGATGGGCGTCACATGGTCCGAGTCTCTGTGGACGCTGGCTGAGGCCCAGGAAATTGGGGTGGACACTAGCCCAGCATTGGTCCCTTGCCCTGACATCCTCCGTGGGCCCAGGTGAAGAAGATGGGTGAGCTAGGGCTGTTGGCCATGGACGTGCCTGAGGAGTTGGGCGGCGCTGGCCTTGACTACCTGGCCTACGCCATCGCCATGGAGGAGATTAGCAGGGGCTGTGCCTCCACTGGCGTCATCATGAGCGTCAACAACGTGAGTGTCCCTCCCCTCCCCCCCCATACACAGGTGGGAGGGTTCCGTGGGTGGGCAGCACCCTGGGCACACACTGAACCTGGAGAGGCCTGCGGGGTATCAAGGCTCTCCCAGCCCCACTCCCCAGAGATTTCTCCTTCCCTGGCCCTGGCCCTGGCTCTGCTCTGCGGGGTTGGCCTCCAGAGAGGACAGACCTGAGGGGGCTGTGGGCAGGGTGGCTGGGTGGGCAGCTTCTCTGTGATGCCCTCCTGTCCCCAGTCGCTGTATCTGGGGCCTGTCCTGAAGTTTGGCTCCCAGGAGCAGAAGCAGCAGTGGGTCACTCCTTTCACCACCGGTGACAAAATTGGCTGCTTCGCCCTCAGCGAGCCAGGTACCTGAGTGGGCGACCTGACCCTTCTCTCCTCTAAAATCAGGGACAGATTCAGCTTGGAGCTGGGGTGCCCTGCGGGGAAAGGCCTTTTTGAGTGGACCGAGGGCCGGCTTTTGCCATGGGCTCTGAGGAGGGCTTTGTCTAAAGGCCCTTCTGTGGGCAAGAAGGTACCCACTACCACCATGCCCTTGGGCCTTCCTGCACTGGCTCCTGCACCTATGGAGCTGGTGTCCTGGCCTTCTCGAGAGCCTAGGGCTCAGGTGGGCAGTGGGCAGTGGGATGAGATGGTGGCAGTATCCTCTGGTGGGGTGGAGGTAGAGGCAGCTGTGAAGTCTGTATTGGGGACAGGGAATGGCAGCGATGCAGGCGCCGCCTCCACCACGGCCGTCGCCGACGGGGACTCGTGGGTCCTGAATGGCACCAAGGCCTGGATCACTAACTCCTGGGAGGCTTCTGCCACTGTGGTCTTCGCCAGCACGGACAAGTCCCGACAGAACAAGGTGAGTCTCCGCAGGCTGCGGTTCCTTCAGTTTCTTCCCTCCCTGATGGACTTCCACCAAAGACCAGCAGAGGGCGCCGTGGTCTGCGGTTGCCAGGGTTATGGAGGGCGGGCTGGTGTGATGTATGAGGGGCGGGGCTGGAGGTGGAGCTAAAGTTGGAACTGGCATTCCTGGGGTCTTTTCAGGGCATCAGCGCCTTCCTGGTTCCCATGCCAACGCCTGGGCTCACGCTGGGCAAGAAGGAAGACAAACTGGGCATCCGGGCCTCCTCCACAGCCAACTTAATCTTTGAGGACTGTCGCATTCCCAAGGGCAACCTGCTTGGGGAACCAGGGATGGGCTTCAAGATAGCCATGGTGAGTCTGGGATTTGGGGGTCCTGGATGGAGTGGGGGGACCAGTTGCCAGCTGCTGACCCAGCCATCCCACAGCAAACCCTGGACATGGGCCGCATTGGCATCGCTTCCCAGGCCCTGGGCATTGCCCAGGCTGCGCTCGACTGTGCTGTGACCTACGCTGAGAACCGTCAGGCCTTCGGGGCGTCTATCACCAAGCTCCAAGGCATCCAGGTACCAGGTGGATATCAGGAGCAGGGTGTGGACTCAATTGGTGTCCAGCGGCTGACTGGGGGGTGGGGACTGGCTTGTTGCAGTTCAAGTTGGCGGACATGGCCTTGGCCTTGGAGAGTGCCCGCCTGCTGACCTGGCGTGCCGCCATGCTGAAGGATGATAAAAAGCCTTTCATCAAGGTGCCGGTGGGGAGGGTCACCTGGAGACTGGTGGGTGAGGGGCTGAGGCGGAAGTTGGTGGGCCCCAGTTCTGTGGTCTCTGTGGGTCACATTTGAGGGGGCCTATCGATTTTCTCTGTAAACGGGGGCTCCCCAAGCCTTCCCTGCTGAGGGGTCCACGAGCTCGCCCCCATTTCCCCCCAGGGGACATTTCTAACTCTCCTGCTCTCTGTGGTCAGGAGGCTGCAATGGCCAAGCTGGCTGCATCAGAGGCTGCCACTGCTATCAGCCACCAGGTGAGTGTCTAGAGATGTGGGCTCCCTGCCCTGCCCCCACCTGGTCACTTTGGGTGGCCAGTCCTGCCCGTCAGCCCCAAGGGTGGGGGCCTTCTCTCTGCTGAGCCCCTGCTGCCCATCGCAGGCCATTCAGATCCTTGGTGGCATGGGCTATGTGACAGAGATGCCGGCTGAGCGGCACTACCGTGACGCTCGCATCACCGAGATTTACGAAGGCACCAGTGAGATCCAGAGGCTGGTGATCGCTGGACACCTGCTCAAGAGCTACCGGAGCTGATCCCAAGTCATGGGACGAGGGCGGGGCATGTGGCCTCAATCATGACTCTTCCTCATGGAGACAGGGTCCACAGTGTGCTGCCACGCCACCCGGCTTCTGCTCTGGGCTGGGTGGGGGGCTCCTACACCCAAATGGCCAGGAGCAAGTCTCAGGGACCTACGACAGCTTCTCCACTGCCAAGGCTTCTATCCTCCATCTGTGTGGGTACAGTCTTCTGGTGGAAGCGAGGGGAGCCACGTGGCCCTGTGCTTTACACAGTCGGCTCTGCTCACGGGACCCTGGTGCCAAGCATGAAGACACGGTTGGGACAGGCTCCGGGAAGCCTCTGCTCTGTGTCCAGGGGCCCGGAGAAGGCATGGGATGGAGCCAGAATGACCAGACTCAAAACAGCAGGCCTGGAGTCCTTGTCTCGGGGAGGGGTGGGCCTGTGACGTGACCCAGAGCCCACTGACTCGTTCTTGGTAAAGTACTATAGGGGCAGGGTGGGTGGTCCAAGTCGTGCTCTGGAGCAGTGAGTGCAGGGGCTAGCTGGGTAATAAAACAAACCTGGGCCCTGCCCCTGTGTCCTCCGCCTTTGCCTGGTTCTTCTGGGCGGGAGATGTGCCCTTTGGAACCATGTTTGCATGTGTGTGTGTGTTTGGGGGCTGTGTGGATTGTGTGTGTTGAGGGTTGTGGTAGCTGCAGTACAGTTCTCTCTCTGCTCAGCAGGAGGCAGGACTGGCCAGTGGAGCAGGTAAGGAGCTGGGTGTAGTTGGCCTCAGCAAGTGACCTTGAGACAGGGAGGGTGGGCCAGGAAGGGCCACATAGCTAAAAGGGTCCTGCCAGGTAGCCAAGCCTCCCAGCTTGGGGTGGAGAGAGTTAGCTGTGGAGTGGGACGGGCAGGAGCCAGTTGCAGATGCCACAGGGACAGCAGGCCCTGGAGATGCCAAGCCCTTAGAACATCTTTCACTTTAGACGCTCATAGCAGGCAGCATTGAGCCTGCCGGGAAGGTGACTGGCGCAGGGTCTCAGGCCTCAGTGAGGTGGCTTTGGCAAACCTACTAGTGCCACTAGGGCCCCAGCTTTAAACCACTTTAGTTCAATATGGTGACTAAGGTAGCTGGAAGAAAATGAGCAAAGATATCCAAGGAGGTGGCGACTTGGAACAGCGAGGTCTCAAGAAAGAAGGCAGGTGACCCTTTCAGAGCAGTCATCAAGGAACCAAAGATGGCGAGAGTGTGGTCAACTGATAGGTAACCTAAACATTTGTTGTTGTTAGGCGCCATCAAGTCATTACCTACTCATAGCAACCCTGTGCACAACAAAAAAACCACTGCCCGATTGTGAGCCAACCTCACAATTGTTGCTAAGTTTGAGCCTATCGTTGCTGCCACTGTGCCAGTCCATTGCACATTTTTTTCTCTGACCCTCCACTTCATCAAACATGATACCATTCTCCAGTGACTGCTCCCTCCTGACAACATGTCCTAAGTATGGGAAACGAAGTCTGGCCTTTCTGGCTTCCAAGCAGCAACTCTGGCTGCACTTCTTCCAACACAGATCTGTTTGTTCTTTTGGCAGTCCATGGCACTTTCAATATTCTCCTCCAACACCATAACTCAAATGTATCAATTCTTGTACAGTCTTCCTTATTCAGTAAACAACTTTTATTATTATAATTTTGCTTTTTAAAATAATTTATATTGTTTCATATGAAAGTTTACACAGAAAATTAGATTTCCATTTAACAATTTTTATATGTTTTTTCCATGTCATTAGTTACAATTTTTACAATGTGTCTGCATTCTCATTATTTCCATTCTGTTGTTTGTTTTATTTCCATGGCTCTAGGAAAGCTAGAGCCTCTTTGCCTTTGCTTTTTTTTTTTTCTCAATGTTTTATTGTGAATTGTGTGATAATTTCCATGGAAGAACATATTAGTTTTACATTCAGTCTATTGTATATCGCCTCACTGCCATGGTTTGCCTTTACTTTTGAGTAAATGTGGACTGCTTAGTTTTTGCAAGGGGGCTTCAAAAAAATGTGTGGAAAATTCCATTTTTCACACATTTTTTTGAAGGCCTCTCATAGTTGATTGTTAAAGGGAGCACATTGCTTATGGGTGATACTGTTATTTTATAAGCCAATCTATTACTTAGCTGAAAGGTGACCTCCAGAAATAGCTTCAGTTCTAAATTCAAAGGACATTTGAGGGTAATCATCTTGATGTTTCTTCTAGTCTCTATCAGTCCAGTAGCACAAAACAACTTTTGCATTTACATGAGGTTATTGAAAATACCATGGTTTGTGTCTGGTGCATATTAGTTCTCAAACTGACATCTTTTCTCTTCAACACTTTATAAAGAGGTCTTGTGCAGCAGATTTGCCCAGTGCAATACGTCATTTGGTTTCTTGACTCTTGTTTCCATGAGTATTGATGGTTGATCCAAGCAAAATAAAGTCACTGATAACTCCAATCTTTTCTCCATTTATCTTGTTATTTATGGGTCTAGTGGTGAGGGTTTTTGTTTTCTTTACATTGACATGCAACCTATACCAAAGACTGTGGTCTTTGATCTTCAATAAGTGTTTTAAGTCCTCTTGGCTTTCAACAAGCAAGGTTGTATCACTGCTTGTCACAGGTTGTTAATGAGCCTTCTTCCAATCCTGATAACACGTTTTTCTTCATAAAATTCAGCTTCTCTGATTATTTGCTCAGCATACAGATTGAATAAATATGGTGAAAGAATACAACCCTGGTACACATCTTTTCCTATTTGAAACCATTCAGTGTTCCCTTGTTCTGTTCGAGCAACTAACTGTCTCTTTGGTCTAGGTACAGGTTCCTCATGAGCACAATTAAGTGTTCTGGAATACTCATATATTGCAATGTCCATAGCATGTCATGGTTCACACAATCGAAAGCCTCTGAGTAGTCAATAAAGCTCAAGTATACATCTTTCTGGTATTCTGTGTTCTCAGCCAAGATCCATCTGATGTCAACAGTGATATCCCTTGATCCACGTCCTCTTCTGAATGCGGCTTCAACCTCTGGAACTTCTCTGTCAATGTTTGCTTGCAGCTGTTTTTATATTACCTTAAGTAAAACTTTACTTGCATGGGATATCAATGATACTGTCCGGTGATTTCCACATTCCATTGGGTCACCTCTCTTTGGAATGGGCTTAAATACAGATCTCTTCCAGTCAGTTGGCCAGGTAGTTGTCTTCCAAATTTCTTGGCATAGTTGAGTGAGTGCCTCGAGTGCCACATCACTTAGTTGAAAGATTTCAATTTTTATTCCATCAATTTCCGGTGCCTTGTTCTTTGCCAATGTCTTCAGTGCACCTTGGACTTATTCCTTCAGGATCATTGGCTCTTGGTCATATGCTACCTCTTTTTTTTTTAAAAAGTTTTTATTGTGAATTGAGTGATATTGTACATGGGAGAAATTGGTTTTACACTTAACCATTTCATTGCATGATTACAGTCCCCTCCGTGCATCATCATTAAACTATTTACTTCTATTTCCTTTGGGGTTTTTTTTTGGGGGGGGGTGTTTTGGGGATGTACACAAAAACACTCAGGAATATATAATCATTTAAACAACCAAAGGGCACATTCTGCAAACCTGCCTCCTGGTCGCCAACACACAGCCTTTCTCTTTCCATGAGTCTAGCGTTCTCAGCTGCTCAATCTCTCCCTGTTCTCACCTCTGCCTCCATCTCTAGTGTCACTGCTTCTCTGGATAGGGGCCCACATTCCACTCATGCTCTTCTTCCTTGATGGTTCTAGGGTCCTCTGATCCTGGACTATAAGTACTCCCCTCATTTTGTTAAAAACCTTCTACCTTTCAGTTGTGACAGTTCCAATTTGTCATCATGACAATTACTATTGAATCATAGGAATCTTATCCCCGCACACTCTGAAACTAAACTTACTCTTGTAAGCCCGTCACTTTGTGCCTTTATAGGCAGCCCCCCCCCCGATTTTAGGTAGCCAATGTCTAAGTTGCCCTTCCCTATCAACCGTGTATATAGAGGGGATAGGATTGATACTTGATTTGAAGATTCTTTCACATTTTGAGTAGTATTTTGAGCTACTACAGCCATAAAAATGGATCAAGTTCATCAAATTACACTCATTACCTTTATCAAAAATTGCTTATCCCCCCCCCCAAAAAAAAAAAAAAGCTAAAGAGGATAGAGAGAAACACTGTTAACTGATGATATATGGAGGGGAGTATAATCAATGTAATGCAACAAATTATATGAATGGTTGAATGTGAAACTGATGATGTGCCCTGTAAACTTTCACTCAATCCAAAATAAAAACCTTTATAAAATAAATAAATAATTGCTTATCTTCCTCTAGTTGAGTTCTGATCATCCAGCCATCGAGGCTAAGTCATATGGGTACTATCTACAAGTTTGGGCATTCTTGTGCATCTCCCCTTGCTTCCTATGAGCTGGACACTTCGCTCTCAGCACTAGCCCTCGTCCATGGGCTCAGGAGTCCCCAGGTCTCACCACACTTTGGACCAACCAGCCCTTCCTCTTCTCTTACATCTCCAAGTCAATGGGAGTCTATGGAACGTGCTTGAACTCAGCCCTTATCTTCATTGCTGTCTTTCTCCCTCTTCCACTCATCAGTTGACCAATGTGGTCACCACATATGCTACCTCTTGAAATGGCTGAACATCAACCATTTCTTTTTAGTACTATGACTTTGTATTCCATCCATCATCATCTGATGCTCTCTTCATCATTCAGTATTTTGCCCATAGAATCCTTCAATACTGCGAATTTGAATCTTGATTTTTTTTTCTTCAGTTCCCTCAGCTTGAGAAATGCTGAGCTTGTTCTTCCATTTTGGTTTTCTAACTCCAGGTTTTTACACATTTTGTTCTAATATTTGACTTTGCCTTCTTGAGCTGATCTTCAGAATTTTCTGTTCAACTCGTGTACCTCTTCACTTCTTCCATTTTCTTTAGTATCTCTACACTGGAGAGCAAGTTTCAG